TTTGAGCACTGTGGGTAGCCCCTTGTGATGATCTTGTTGCAGTAAATTTTATTATTAATCTCGATGAGAGCTTTCCTACTATACTATGATACGCTTGCCTAGTCTTCGTATTGACGTTTGAGCACTAAAATTGGCCTTTCTTTGTAATTACGCAATGGTTTAGGTGGACCTTGTCATACTAAAAACTTCTTTCAACTTCTCCTAAAATTCTTGGCCACAATGCTGGATCTGTAGTCAAAGTTTGTAGAACGCTTTCTGTGGGAGTCACGTTGTTGTCAATTTTTTCAATGCTTTCATCTGGTGATGATAGAGTCAGTGTGTTGTCAGTTCCAATTGATTTAGAAACTTTGTCCATTTGTTTGTCATCATCATCCTCTTTTATATTTTCTTTTATAACCGAGCTTGATGTTGGATTTTCAGAGTCATCATTTGTTTTGGTACAACTCTGGATATAATTTTTTAATGCGCCAGGTTGATTTTGCCTTTTGGCTTCCTTTTCCAGCCTTCTTTTTTTGTACTGGTAACCAGACAGTTTTCTTTGACTGTTAGACATTCTGGAAGAGGCACGCACATAACTCAAATTAAACAATGTAAACTATAAAATAATATTTAAAAAAATAATGATTTATCCTTGTTGTAAGTAAGCTAAAAACGTAATTAACATAACTACAAAATTATATTCTGTCAATGGACATAAAAAATATTTATGGCTTACACATAATATTTTTCGTATCTTGTGAATGTAAAGAAAGTCTAGTGTTTATATATATGTATTTTATAATAACAAATATTTCAGCAAATCATAAATAGTCATTAAAAACAATTTTATAATTCTTGATTTTGAGATTTTATTCATTTCAATTATTCAAATATATTATTATAAAACATGTTTTATCAAAGCAATGAACTTAATAAATGTCTTATATTATTGATTCAAATAATTATTTTCATAAAACAAAACTATAAATAATTATACCTATAGAATACATTCAAATTTAATACAATATTTTATTGATTTAATAAATAACCTTTTTGGATAAATTAAATATTTATTTTATTTAAAAATGCTTTCATTGTTTCGGTTTGATAATCGATTTATGATAAACTAGTATCTATCAAACTAGACAACAGCTTAATTATAGATGTACCTTTAAAAATTAAGAAATTGCACTTAAATAAATTTTATGAACTTTCACTTGTTATCACTACCAACGTAATATCAAGAATAATGCTATTGTATAATGCAGGGGTGCACAACCTGCGGCCCGCAGGCCACATACCATAGATGGTGCTCCATCGGTGGAGCACCATCTATGGTTGGATGTGAGAATGGCATGGTCACCTTGCTGAAAAACCACCTTGGGGACAGGCAAAAGGAGTTAGTCCAGTATCATTGCATAATTCACCAACAGCAACTTTGTGCAAAGAAGCTGGGATTTGAACGTCTGCTGAAAGATGTCTATGATACTGTGAACTTAATCCGCCGTCATGGACTCAACCATCGACTCTTCACATCATTTCTTGAAGAAATAGATGCTGATTATGCTGACCTGCCCACGTATACTGAAGTTTGTTGGCTGAGCAAGGCAGCAGTCCTCAAGAGATTTGTGGAGCTATTGGGGCCTATTATCACTTTCCTCTAATAACGGGGGAACACTACAAGGAATTTGGAGGAACAAAGATGGCAGTGTGATTTAGCTTTCCTTGCTGACATTACTTCTTATCTAAACGACCTTAATTTGAGATTGCAGGAAAAGATGCAACTTGTTTCTCAGTTGACAAGTAACATCAATGCATTTATGACCAAACTATCACTTTTCAAGTCTCACATGCAATCAGAGAACTTTACACACTTTCCACATTGCAAGGCCATGAAAGAGAAATACCCACATATGAAGATGGATTACTCTGACCAAGTTAACACCCTCCTTACATCATTCAATGAGAGGTTTGGTGAATTCCAGAAATACAAGATCTACCTGCAACTTTTTTCAACTCCATTTGATGTGAAAGTGGAAGATACCCCTCCAGATGTCCAACTTGAGTTGATAAACATCCAGTGCAGTGATGAATTGAAATCACAGTTTAAAAATTCTAATCTCCTCACATTCTACAAAGAACTGCCTGATACATCATTTCCAAAACTGAAAGACAATGCTCGATTTTGTGCAAGCATGTTTGGCAGTACCTTCCGTGTTTCCCCGAAAATAAAACACTATCTTATATTAATTTTTGCTCTGAAAGATGCACTAGGTCTTATTTTCAGGGGATGTCTTATTTTTCCATGAAGAATTCACATTTACTATTGAACAAAAAAATTCCCAAGTCGAACTTAGACGAGAGTGACGTATATCCGGTCATGTTGAACTGAACTTAAATAAAACCGAAGTGAACTTACAAAGTTCCGTTGGAGTGGACTTCCCACTCTTGCTTCAACTTAACCTTTTTATAGCGTCTACATCGGGCTCGATGACCAATTACTGCTTACTGAACCATAACACTATGCAAATATGATGTGGCGTGATTCCCGGCCGACCAATTAGTGATCACCAGCCATAACATTATGCAAATCTGTGATTCCAAGCCATAGTCTTATGCAAATCATGCCGTGTGGCGTGTTGTCTGCTGACCAATCAGTGGCTGTACTTTCAAAAAGCCAACGGCCACTTTCAACCTGCTGTCGATGACCGTTAGGAGTAAAAAAAACAACTTTACTAGGTCTTACTTTCGGGGGAGGCCTTATATTTAGCAATTCAGCAAAACCTCTGCTAGGTCTTATTTTCGGGGAAACATGGTATGTATGCGAACAAGTGTTTTCGCTTATGAATTTAAACAAGTGCAAAACACAGAACAGGTTAACCAACGAAAATTTGGAAAATCTGCTGGTTGTTTCAACATCTGCCATTACGCCAGACATCAAGAAGATTGCCGCTAGCATCCAATCTCAGCCATCGCATTAATCACTTGGAGGTCCGGCCCCCAGTCAGTAAACTTAATCCTAATTTGGCCCTTCTTCAGAAAAGGTTGTGCATCCCTGTATAATGAAACCGCTCTTTTATAAGTAGAGGTAAGTATAAGCGAGTCTATGCATGTTCAAACACAATCTGAAGCAGTACTTCACTCATGTGCTAATACTATTCTGTTCAGAGAAGTATATGCATGTTCAAACAAGTTCAAGCATCATCCTTTACAAATTCTGCATTAATTTTTCAATAATAGTGTAAATATTTTTACTTTTTAGACATAAACAATACAGTATAAATACAATATGCAATTTTTAGAGAACAAAAAAATCAATACATGAAATTTTCTATTAATTGAGTATTTAACACATCAATAATTTTTCGCACTTATGCCAAAATGGCACCCCTAAACTTTGGTGCCCCGGATGAATGTCTGGGTTGGTTGCCCCTAGAGTGGGCCCTGAATAAATTAAGTTTTAATATTTAATTAAAATTTCTGGGAGATCATTTGGCTTTAATTGAAATATTGATTGTTTATATATTCCATTGTTATAAATGAAACAAAAACATTATAAGAAAAACCAACTGACAATACAATAATATAATGCAAATACTCTTAAAATCAGCATATAATTTATTTACCACAAATGTTTCCTGCTATTTTCAATGGTCTTCAAAGAGTAACATGGTTTCAAATGAAAAATTAGAATACAGAATCAATTTAAAGTATATTAAGATTAATGAGTTAATGCAATGGGTACATTCAAACTAGAATTAACTGTTGCATTAATTCTTAGTTATGTCCTCACATTTTCTTCTGTTGTTTGAAATTTCCATGTTGTGTTTCAATTATTGTGATTCTGAGCATATTTCAGAACTGTGTTTGAATTTGGATCAAATGACTTTCTGATTTCCTCATTTGGGTGCCAGGATGTTGAGTCTCATTTTTCAGCAATCTGAGTCCATTATTTTTTCTTGCCTAAAAATTTCATAAAGAAATATCACTTTGATATTGTGTGAACAGAGTAAAATAGAACTCTATTGGCAAGATATTGCAGTAATCTACATATAAGGGTTGTATTATAAGCAGGTTTGAAAGAACCTGCAAAACTCTTTACTTAGAGAAGTAGAAATACAGCAGGGTCCCATACAACTTGGGGGATATCCTTCCATGTTATAGGAAATCTCATTATCGAGACATGTATTATCAGATAATTTTAAACACAGGCCTAGAAGTTGAAGAAGAAAACATATACCTATGTATGAGAAAATTAGAATTTTCTATGAGTACTAGTCACAGTTTTTTCATCACATTATATGAGTTTGCATTATAGGGAAGAGCATTTACTGTATTGAAAAAAATGTACTGTATTTGAAACAATACAGTACAGTAGAGCGTCGTTTATCCGAAAGCTGGTTATCCGAAACGTCCATTATCCGAAAGCATTCCAGTCGGCAAATTTAAATTTTTGCTAGTGCTGTGGCGCTGCAATCTTCGGCTATTTCTCAGGCTACTCAAATATTTTACGTTTTTGATACTAAATTAACATCTGAAGTATAATTTTTTATTGTTTTTATATTTTTCAATAAATTAATTTTGTTTGTACAAAATAAAAAAATAATTTTTAACGATACAATAGTTTTCGTTAGGCTTAACATCGACAAAAATTCAACGCGAAGTGACACGCAACAGAGAAATTTCAACATGGGATAAATTAATATATTTTTTCGTACATGATTCGTTATCCGAACCACCCCAGTCCCCAATTGATTCGGATAAACGACACTCTACTGTAATTCTATATTTTATAAAATTATTACATTCATGTGTTTATACATTGGCTGTATGTAAGTCTTAAGCTAATGAGGTTTTTAGGTAATATAGCTAGATAATCAAATAACACTTTATTTCAAAAACAAAGAAAGAAAGAGAAAATTTAAATACTTAATAATTTAAGAAAACTTTAGATAAAAATAGTAAATATATGAATATTTACATTTATTATTATACAAAAATGCTAATAAACCATTTCTTAGATCATTTAGTTGCAAATGGAAGAATGATGGAACCAGAAGCTCGAGAAAAATTTAAACAAATTGTGGCTGCTGTAAGTTATTGTCATAAACGTTGTGTTGTTCATCGAGATTTAAAAGCTGAAAATCTTCTCTTGGATTCTGAAATGAATATTAAGATTGCAGGTAATTTAGTTTTGTTTTTTTTATAAATTTCATTTTATTGTATAAAAATTAATTATTAATAATATGTAATCATTACTGAATTTATGAACAAATCAAATCAATTTAATCATTAAATATTTTGAAACAAATATACATAGCTAATTGATGAAAATAAGGTCAACCATCACTAATGTGGCACTAATTTCAGCTAGCATTATTTCAACTTGTCCAGTTGTCACACCAAAGATTTGTTATGTTTTGGAGTGTTCAATGATGCCAGATATATGATAATTTGACAAGAATTTTCATTTAATGTTTGTTTTTTTTTATTAACCAACTTGTACTGATTTACAGAGTATTTTAAAAATAGGATGAGTTGGTTTGCTGTTGGGCTAAATTTGTTCTAACCTAACCATCAGAGTCAACCAGTGGCCAAGCAGTTCCGTTTCCTGAACACTGGGAGTTCGGTCATGGCTTCATACCTCATCAGGACAGGCTGGCTACGTGGAGTTTTCTGGGTTTCTCCACATCTGTAACACCTAAATAGGGGCCAGTTACCCTTAATAAGACCTCCCAGAAGGCATCCCCTTAGGCAGATTGTCCTCAAGTGTTGCATTGCCATGACTTAACTAACTAAACTAAACTAAAACCTAACCATCAGAAATCCAGCAAAATTTTTTATCTGGCACCCTACATGTCTCAATGATGCTGGATTAATGGTGATCAACCTGTATCACTTATTGATTTAATGTTTAGATGTTCTTTCATTTAATTTAATTATAAACAACATATATTTTCATGATTATAACTTATGTAAACAATATTGTTTTTTATTTAAAGAAAAATCAATGAATATAAACATTTAGAATTTAAAACCATAGTTCTGTTGACTTCTTAAACTTTAATTTATTGACAGAAAAATCTGAATATTTATATATTTAGAATTTCATTAATATTTTATATTTAATTAAAAGTTATAATTAAGTTTTTGGATAAAGATGTCTTATATTTAATAATAGATATACATTGTTAAATCTCCTCTCAGCTTCAGATCTTTTGAATTAACTAGATTTAAGTTTTTGATATGTTTATTATAGTATATATTTATAATATTATATAAAGTTTAAAAATTTTAAAGAATAATAATTATGTTACATGTGGAAGTTAGAATTCTTTCTTCTCAGTTTGAAATTTAAATTTAAAGACTGATATTTTGAACATTACATGATATGGTATAATGGCTAGCCTTCACCCAACAAACCAGTTCTTGTCAGATCATTGAAATTAAGTTACAAGATAGTAAGTAATCTAGTTAAGGATGATGCTATTGTCTAATCCTACCCACAGCATGTGATTCTAAATCTCAAATCTGGATCAAGAGAATGAAGAGTTGACAATAGGAAGGATATTTGATATTAAAATGAAGATGAATAAGGAACAATCTCAAGTGACCTCATGGATTAATAGTGCGGATTTTTATTTCTTCTAACTCTTGATGATGAGCACACGCTACAATTTTTAAAAGCTTTCGCTTCAAGAAAATCAATTTGAATTGGATATATTAAATGATTTTAAATAGTGTTGCACAGAGCCAGTGAAGTTTCAACTGAGGCATGATTGTTTGTTGAAGCTTAATAATTTTAATTGATTTAAATATATGAGGGCTGTTTCTTTTTCACTCTCCGATGGTCCATAAAACAAAGACAAGCATAAATAACAAAATGAATTTATTACCAAAAGTCAGGTACAGACATGGTTACTTTTTGGCATAATCACTGTGAATATTGAGCCATTTGTCTATCTGTGGACGAGCTTTGAAATCCCCTCTTCATAGAATGTTGCTGCCAATGACTTGAGATAGCCTTAATGATGTTGTATTGAAGATCATCATTAGTCTCGAACCTCTGCCCTCCTAGCCATGTTTTCAGTTCAGGAAAGAGCTGGAAATCGCTTGGCACTAAATCGAGGCTATATGCTGGGTGTTTAAAGGTGGTGAAGACTTCTACTTAGCTTGGAACTTTTTAATGTGTGAAGACTTCCGTCTCTTTCCTGAACTGAAAATGTGGCTAGGAGGGCAGAGGTTTGTGACTAATGACGATCTTGAAAACAATGTTGTTAAGGCCATCTCAAGTCATTGGTGGCAACATTCTATGTAGAGGGGATTTCAAAGCTCGTCCACAGATAGACAAATGGCTCAATCTTCACAGTGATTATGTCAAAAAGTAACCATGTCTGTACCTGACTTTTGGTAATAAATTCATTTTGTTATTTATGCTTGTCTTTGTTTTATGGACCATCGGAGATTGAAAAAGAAACAGCCTTTGTATTTAATTTTAAAAAATCAGTCAAAAAATAGCTATTCAAATTCTCTTTTCTAACAAAACTGTTATGTCAAACATTTTTTAAAATTTAATATACAAGTCGACCCCCCCTATAACACTGTTGATAATTCCGTTTTATATGAATTCCATGTTATACGAGTCACTTAGATTTTACAAATACACGTGCTGTTCACAGCCCAGCACACGTATTTGTAAAATCTAAGTGACTCGTATAACATGGAATTCATATAAAACGGAATTATCAACAGTGTTATAGGGGGGGTCGACTGTATATATTATTCAGATGATTCAGCTACTTAATAATTGATATATATATCAATTAATATACAATAGATAATAAAATATCACTTATTATATATATATATCAATTATTAAGTAGCTGAATCATCTGAAAGAAATTTGTTTATTATTACATGCAGTATTAAATAAAACATTGGAAAGAAAAGATCAGATCTAAAATCATTACAATGACAGCGATAAAAATGAAGTAATTTTAGTTTTTAATAAAAAATTAGAAAATAAAATTATCAGTTATTGGTTTGGAGTGAAAAACTATGTACAAAAATTACTAAATGCTCTGGTTAATGTGGTTGATTAGAAAAATCTATCTTTATGTGTAAAAATTAAAATATTTAGAATAAATATGCTTATAGGAAATAACAAATATATTTCTTAGTTATTCACAATTTTTAGGTCTTTTTAATTCAAAAAAGTGTTACAAACACTACTAAGTATTGATGATCTAATAAAATAGTCTATATTAATATTTTGGTGGTTCAATTGTACTTCAGTGGACTATGTTAGTGCTTCAGTCACTAGTCAGTGGTTCAGTTGTAAAATTCAGTTCATACAAATTGAATTTACAACTGAACCACTGACAAGTGACAAGTGGAGCTCAATAATAATATTTGATTTGATTGGCAATAGAGATGATTTTTGCTCTAGTTGAGTGCAATTAACTAAAGTTGGCTAAATTAAGTTTGTAATAAATTCTTATTTTTGGATTCCTTAACAAGAAGTTTATTTTTTACTGTGAAATAGTTTGTAATAATTAAAAATGTTCCAAAAAAATTTTTACTGATTATTTTTACAGTATAGTTATAACATGTTGATAAATTATTTAATTTATAAAGATGAAGTTTTATTGAGTGGTATATATTCTAATTAATTTACCGACTAATTTAATCATATTTGATATTCAGTCACTTACAATGCTGTCAAATTCATCTATATTATGTGATTTTCAATTATAGTTACATTTAAAGAGATTATTTTTAAGTTTTTCTTTTATAAAATATTTTATTCTTTTATATTTTCTACAGATTTTGGTTTTAGTAATCATTTTGAATCTGGAATACTCTTATCTACATGGTGTGGAAGTCCTCCTTATGCTGCACCTGAATTATTTGAGGGGAGAGAATATGATGGACCAAAAGCTGATATATGGGTATATTTTTAAAAAAATTTATTATGTTATTTCGTAGTATAGTAATTATTCTCTTATTTGGGGTGATCCATAAGTTATGCAACTCACTTATAGAAAAAAACAACCTGAGAAATCTGAAAAATACATCACAATATATGTTCAAATGACTTCATTTTTGCAGATGTTTGGAGTGCAGGTTGCATTGTTCATGGATCACTCTGTACAAACACCTGTTAAACTATTGTAAATTAATATGACATTCGGTGCACTGAGAAAAGAACATTCTAATAAATTAACTTGTTTGTATTACAGATATGAGATGTACAGAATGTAGAACCTATTTCAAATAAAAATGTCAGGATTTCTTCACTAAAGTTTAGTAGTTAATTTATGAATTTGACACAATATTACAAAAGCATTTCTTCGTGTTTACAGAATTATTACAAATTGTGTAATTCAAACAATTTAACATGTAAACAAATTAATATATCTGGAGAAAAGGTACACAAATGACCAGATAGCTGAGATAGATACACATTACTATTCTCAGAGACCTTGGTTTGAATCTGGATGGAAAATGATCGTCATAATCTAAAATTTGCACAAATGATCTGGTTCTTGTCTGGATAAATTGGGTTCTTTCCTCATCTAGCTGTCACAATGCAGGCTACTTGAATCTAGGCTACAATGCATTTAGGCCCCTTAGATGATAATCTAAGGGGCCTAAATGCAAATTCTTGCACAGGGCACAGGAATGGCTAGTTATGTCTCTGCATACATACATACATACATGCATACATACATGCATACATACATATATACATACATATATATAATATTTTTGTCTTACAGATACATAAAAATAAAAATATTTACTATTCTGTAAATCAGTTGAGTTAAAGGTCAATAGTCTATAATAGAAAAAAAATGTTTTAAACTGCATAAGCTGCTGTATATTAAAAAATTTTAAAGTATTTTACTTACAAGATTTATTGCACAGATGAGGTAATTTTGTATGACTGAGGAGAGAAAGAATAAAATAATTATCTATTTCCATACTAATAGAAGTATTTTGATGTTATGTTTTGCATTTATTACAAAATAACTGAAGTTTCAGTGAACAAATTTTTAAAAATGGAATTATTCATATACAAGTCTAAAATAATCATTAAAATATAAAAAATATCATAGAGAATGAATGGATAAATGTTTTCAAGAACACTGTCCATCAAAATGGGTTCTCTTTGAAGGATAACGTAATGAATATTGTATAAACTTTATTAATTTAAGAAATATTTTTACAAATGTTAAATTTGTTATAAGGAGTTGTAAAGAAGAATTATTCTTACTAGAATTTATGATGCTTATCTGTTAATTTTCACTATAACTTTCACAGTAATAGTTTAGAATTTAAAATTATAATGAAAATCAAACTTACTGCATTGATGTTAGTCTCTATTGTATATTGGGTTATAAAACTTTATTCTCATCTAGAAATAATATTACCATGTTTTTCAACAATTCATTTATACATGTAACTACAGAATTCGTTTTTTTATCATTATATTGTAACCATCAATTCTGATAAAAATTTAATAGTAAGCTACAATTTTTAGAATTTACCCATATGAAAATTATATTATTTATAAAATCAAACCTTATCATTTCAGTTGTTAATTCAAAGATTTTTATTAGTTGTTAGTTTTTGTTAGAAATGATGATAATAGAAAAATAAATCAAGAAATGAATCTTGGAATATAATTAAATGTTTATTCTAAGGAAATAATGAAAGTTTACAAACAGAAAATTGAATAATAAGTTTTTTTAATATTTAAAATGATTACTTATGATACATATTAAATCTTATATATAATTTAATTATTATATTACATTATACACTTTTTTACAGAGTCTAGGAGTGGTATTATATGTTCTAGTATGTGGAGCGTTACCTTTTGATGGTAGCACTTTACAGAGTTTGAGAACACGTGTCTTATCCGGTAAATTTAGGATTCCATATTTCATGTCCACAGGTAAGTTTAAGTTGAAATATTTTATATATCCATTGTAATATTGATATTACTTTGGTATGTGTGTTAATTAATACACACATACCAAAATAAATCAATAGGAGTAAAAAACTGTCTTTTTAGTATTAAAAGAGATGAAATGAAGACAACATTAAGTTTAAATACTTTTAAACTTAATATTGCCAATTATACAGGATTTTCCAAAATGAATGATACTGTTTTAAAATACTGTAATTAGGTTAATTATTACCTGAGAAGTATGTGACATACACCAATTGATAGAGTAACCATCTGAGTTTCATCTCCTATCTACATTCAAGCACTTTGTCTACTACCTGTAGGAAGTGTCATAAAAGAAAATGCTGACTTTGCAACTGAGAAAGCATTTTGTGTTCTGCAGTTCGTTTAGATGAAGTTGCTCATCATTATGCAACACGAGTAATCTACATGAGCTGTAGAATTGTGGCTGCTGTGGGAAGAGTGACAGTGGATATGCTATAGTGAGTGTAGGAAAAATTTGGGTATTGATTGAATGTGTGCCATGTGACACAAGGTGCATGCATTGAGAAATTTTAATGAGAAAATGTAAAACTTGGACAGTTTTCCAATATTTTAATGTGCATTACATTGTTCTCAGATAATAATTAATATAAAATGCTATCATTTTACATTATTGTAATTTTTTGGAAGTTCTGTATATATATTGTTCTATACATTAATATCTGAATATCATGTTCATACAAATAATTTTCATAATTAGGAAACAAAATGTTATTAAGAAATCAAGAATTGTTGGCTAATTAAGAACTTTTGAAGCTACTTAGCTTTCACTCTCAAAATCCTAAACTAACTAATAATTTCTACTTAATTTTCAAACCGATTTGGAAAGTTGTCTTTTTTTTTTTTAGACTTTGTTTTAGAAATTTTTAAAAATTAAAACTTCTACATGAAATTTGTTGCTAAGTCTCACAAAAATGTTAAATAATCTTCCATTTACTGGAGAATAAATAAAGTTTTAGTTTTCATTACAGACTGTAATTTATACAGAAATAAGATTCTTAAAACACAAAACAAAATATGACAGCATAACTTATTTTATTTTTGAGATTAATGTATTAATCTCAAAAATAAAAAATGAAAAAGTAAAAAAATAAAAGAAATAACTATGGTTAGGAGTATTAAATACTTTGCTTGGATGTCATGCCAACAGTTAATTCAATCAAAAACTTCAGATTATGAGGCGTTAAATAGAATTAAAAGAAATATTTTTAATCTTGCAAGCGCTATCAACGTAAATATGTACATCATCTTGGAATTAATATTAACCATTTTTGGAATATAACTACAGTAGAGCCTCAATTATCCGACCCCCCGATTAACTGACACCTCGGTTAACTGACTGTCCTAGTTGGCAAATTTCAAATGTCCGTTAGTGATGTGGCGCTACAACATTTGGCTATGTCTTGGCTACTTTAATATTATTTTTACGTGTTTTAGCAGGCAACGCTCATTCGACCATAAAAGGAGCTAGTATTTAAATGAGGCTTAATTTTCTAATTTTTAATGATACAATAGCGACGATTATTATTTAAAAAAATTTTTGTTAGGCTTAGCATCGATGAAAATTCAACGCTAAGTAGGTTAATAGCGATATACTAATATACTAATTACATGGGATATAATAATATACTACACTAATAATCGATTTTTTCATACTTTTCGGTTATCCGACTTTTCAATTATCCGACCAACCCCAGTCCCCAATTGAGTCAGATAATCGAGGCTCTACTGTATTACAAAAGAAAAAAAAATGATTTTTTTTGTAATAGTTATATTCCAAAAACAGTTAATATTGTTAATGCTTAAATTTAAATGTTCTGTTCGGATTCTCTATTCGGTTTTGAATTGCCTGAAGACGACTTACATATTTACGTTGAAAGCACTTGCAAGATTAAAAATATTTCTTTTCATTCTATTTAATGCCTCATAATCTGAAGTTTTTGATTGAAATAACTACAGATATAACTTAGTAAACAATACACTCATAAAGGTGATGAACATGGTAGAGTAGTAATGTTTTGATGAATTCCCAATCAACTCATTTGTAATCTCAAGATCCAGTATCTTTAACAAAGTTCATTTTTCTGTGAAGTCCAAAGACAGGCTTACTGAGAGGAAAGTTCTCGGGAATGAAAAATTAGATCTGGACCCATGGTTTTTGATAATTGATTTAATGAAATATTATTAGTCTATCACATTTATCATCATTATGTGTGTGTTGTTTACTATGTTATATCTTTAGTTATTTTTTAGTTTTTACTTTTCAGTTTTTTACTTCAATATGTGTATTTAACTTCAATCCTCTCTATCTGGGATGTGTTATTCATTCCTATATGTCATACATGCTTAAAAAAACAGATTGAGAAAATAGCAATTGCACACAATTACTGTAGATCAATGATTCAGAATATAGTACTGGTACATAGATTCAAAAACAACAGAAAAGAGCAGAAATTCTACCTCAAACCATTCATAACCCAGAGATATAGTAGTGGATTTCAATTCCAAGCTAAAATCAATTTATGAATAAATCACTTCATGCATACATGCAAATGTATGCTATTGCAGAAATATGACAATATACAAATTATTATACAATGGCAAAGTCATAACAACATCGAAAGAGCTCCAGAGATATATTCCATCCATGTCATGGATGGGAGAATTGACTGAAAGTTAACATAAATGGTGGTCGTCATCATCAGATAATTATCAAGTAGAATCAGAGAACACAAATATGACATCAATCATAACAAACTAAGTACCATTCTGGCCATCTATACCACAGAGCCTGTATAGTAGTTGGAAATCTGGATGAAGCAAAATTAATATAACAAGTTGGCATTGAGAAACATCTAAGAAGTTTAGAAATGATGGAGATTTATAAAGCCTCTTTAAAAGGAACTTGCATAAATCACAAAGATTCTGAATCGTTATCAGTAGTGTGGAAATTATTTTATGAAAAACCAAAAAAAAAAATTTATCAAGAAGCCCATAAGTTAATGAAGAAGATATAATACTATTATAAATATTTCATCACAATTGGACCCATCTCATAAATTCTGGAATTTGTAAATTACATGGTCTGTGAATCCTATTTGTTCCATCTTTTAAATTTTAAAATATATTAGACATACATCATTACACCTGCTAGTATTTCAATTTAGAACAGTGAAGTTTTGAATTCTTGACAGACCTGAAGAAGGCTAAGAAAGGAAGTCATAAATATTTGTCAAATAAAAGAAACAGTGCTGGAAAATTACTTAAAGATGTATTTATTTGTTTTTTGAACTTGGATTCAGCTTTGATAAATTCAAAGTTCTTGCATGCTTATTTTTGAACTTTCTATCACATGATAGAACATGATAAAACTCTTAAACAATTATTCAACGTTTCAAACAACGAAATGTTCAATCATTTAAGTGCTCCAAAAATATTAGAACACATTAATAACATTTGTGTTCCATTTTTTATCTACATGGGTCTGATTATGAGATTTTGATCATAAAAAAACATTTAAATCTAAAAAAAGTTGGCTTCTATACTGTTTCTAGCATTATGTTTTCTTTTATTTACTAAATATATTTACAATAAAAGATATTTAATCAAAAATGTAAATATGGAAGAAGAGATTGAAATGATCTAAGATTTGCTAATGTTTACTAGTGATGTTTATTTAGTGATGATTTACTAGTAAACACTAAACAAAAAGTGGAAATTGTGGTTAAATCTATTACAAGAGAATACAAAATAAAACTAAAAACATACATTTTTTTATCTTTAATATCTGGCAAATGTATTTAAAATTAGCTGATATTATTTTTTTAGAATATGATTATATTAAAGAATACACACATCTAAATATATAAAATTACTTGTCCTGACCGACTGACTGACTGAGTGATTGACTGATTCATTGTCGCCCAGAGCAAACTATTGAATCTAAAGAGGTGAAATTTGATACACAGTTAGGGTACATCATGAAAATGCACACAAAGAAGGGATTTTTCGAAATTCCCCTGTGGGGGAAGAGGGAGAGGATTAAGGCTTAACCTGAAGAACAGTTTCTACTGTACTATTTTAGATGTGCTTTTTTATTTTCAACTACATTTAGTTTTCATTGAGTACTTAGGTGTATTAAATTGATAAAATTTCAGACATTGTTATAAATATTTTTATATATTTAGATTTTTTTAACCAAATGTTCAAACCGTTTTAAATTCGAATTTCTTATTGCATATTGGTTCTATTATAGAACAATTGTAAACGTTCCAGAAAATTGATCAAATTGAAAACAGTTTGTTTGATTCTCAGCAATTCTCATCATTCTCAGCAGTAGGTGTTATATAACAATTACTATGGTTGTTAAAATACTGAATATGAATGGGGTTTACTTGCAAAATCCTTGCAAGCAAAGTCACGGGTAACAGCTAGTACACACATATATATATATATATATATATATAAAACACAAATTAATGTAGATGTGTTTGAATGTAAACAATGGAAAAAATTCAAATAGATGGTCTTTAAAAAAGTTTGTTGTTTGAAGAAATTTTCTGTGTTTGAAGAAGAAAATAATTAATAGCATGCTCTTTCAGTTATAACTATTTCATACTTAAATTTGGAGTTACAAGAAATAATTTAAGAAATTGAAAAGTTACCAAGAGTAAAATGTAAAACACCAAGATCAGCATTGCTATTTTGAGAATACATAAAAAAATATAATGAATAAATTCAATATTAGACTAGAATAAATAATGTGATGGAAATGATCAAAGATACAAAAACCACTAAAGTTATGTAGATTAGGAACTGTGGACTGTAAAACACTTCTTTGAAAATCAAAACTAAATTAAAATCTTTTGAATTGTTACTTTGCACATAAAGTTGCTTTGTTCAGTTACAATAAGAACTTAATAAAGATTATACATTAATAAGCATACACATTTATAATATAATGATTTTACTGAGTACTAAAACATATTTTCTTAAATACTGTCTTTTACAAAACACATACATGTGCATACACAATCCAAATATTATAATGCTATATAATAATTTAAAAAAATGAAACAATAATAATTCTAATGTGAAATAGATCCAAATAATAGAATTTTACAATTATGTCTTAATAAATTCTTTAAAAAAATATATTTTACAATTCAAAGTGATTTTGTGAAGAATGTAGAAATTAATTATATTTATTTCAGAATGTGAACATTTAATAAGACACATGTTGATAGTCGATCCTGAAAGGCGACTGACGATAGATCAGATAATAAAACACAAATGGATTCAGCAAGATGGACCCGATACAATATTTGATGCATTGATTGAAACTTACAGTATGAATGGTGGTCCAGAAAATAACGAGACAATCAATGAATTGGTACTAGATCACATGTTAAGGCTTCCTGGAGTAACAAAAGAGAGAATTATCGAGGTATTTGATTTTTCTGTATTTACATAATAACATTTACTACAAATTAAAATGTTTTTTATATATTTGATTTGAATGTTTTATGGTTATCTCATTGAAGGTTTTGAGAAATATGCCAAAAACATTAGTAATTTTGTAAATTTTGGACTTTAAAAGTAGTAGTAACTGTTAATATGCTAGTAAATAAGGAGTTGCAGACAGTTTTGTTTTGGTATTTAGTAAATAAATTTATTAATGTTGATATTTTATAACAAATATTAAATTAAATAACTAAATTATATATAAACTTGTTGATTTATTTTAAAAATTAATTTAAAACTAATCTATACTGAAGATTATGTTTTGAAATTGAAGATAATATTTTGTAAACAGATTGTTAAGATAATATAATCATAATTAGTAATTAATTTAAATGAATCATTAATAATCATTTTTAAACTTAAAAAATTTATATATAATTTCTCTAAATACATTTTATTTTTAATATTAAAATATATTATTAACATTAGCAAATATCATTATCATTTAATTTGTTTGAACCTTGCTTAGTGACATCAGAATATGAAGCTGACTGTAGATAAATAGTATATGAAATGTTTTAAATAGTGTATTGCTAACCTTTGATGTATTGGTTGTTCGGAAAGTAAGTTCGTTTTTTTCCATGGGAAAAAACGTAATATTCTTATAATAAATAAATATTTTATTGAATTATAAGTTGATCATTTTGGTCAAATACCTGTTGTCATCATTTCTGGTAGTAGCACGATTTCACATTCATAAAAGTTTTGATCGTTGCTTACAAAAAACCGATCCAAGTGATTTTTGACATTGTCATTTCAAGTAAATGTCTTACAGTTAAAAAAATTGTATAGACTGGAACAAGTAATAATCTGAGTGTGCTCGATCTGGCGAATATGGTTGGTGTGATAGCATGTCCCATCTAAGTTATAACAGTTTCTGACGAGTTACCAAACTTATGTAAAATTTGACATTATTGTGGTAAAACACTACACCTGTTTTTTTATCAATTCTGGCCGGCTTTTTCTGTTTGATGATATTACGCAATTTGTTTATCGAATGCAGTACACTTTTGAATCAATTGTTAAATTTTCTGGTAAAAGCTCCAAAAAAAATTTTCTTAAAATTCCACCAAATAGAGCATTTCTCTTTAAGAACTCGTGAATTCATATATCGAGCTTTGAAACGAAACCAATTTGTTTCAAGTACTCATAAACAGTTCAATTTGACAAATTTAATCTCTTAGTGATTTCATGTGTTGTTATTCCGCAGTTTGCTTCAATCGGTACTTTTATTTTGTTTTCATTGGCTTCAATTGGCCATCCATAACGTGGTGCATCTTCAATACTGAAATTGCGAGAACGAAATTTTGTAAACCAGTTTTGGCACTGTCGTTCTGTCAACACATCTCCACCATACATATCACACGATTTTTTTTCTTGCTTGAACAGCATTTTTATTTTTTTGGTAATAAAAAAGCAAAATATGCCGAAGATGCTGCTTTCGATCTTCCATATTTGATGGGTCACAAAAAATAAACAATTGCACGAAATCAAACAAAATTTTTTACAAATAAGCCATAAAATGCTAGATGTCAAAATATATAATGATAATATGGTTTAGAACGAAAATGGCGGGAAAAATACCACTAATCCGTCTAGTGGTAAAAAAATCGAACTTACTTTCCGAACAACCCAATAACATATTAATGGTTTAAATGATAGTCCAATAATGCCAATTGTTCATTGTATCTGAAGATATCAGGATCAACTATAAAAACAAACTTTATACAAGATATGATAAGATATATATATATGCCTACATTATGCTAAATACAATGGATACAAATGCTGTACTTTCAAGCAAGGACATAATGTTGCTTTACTTTATTGCTTGGAAGATAGGAATCAATAATTGCTGACATGTCTAACAGACATTTTATGCATTCATAAAATGTCTGCTAGGCAGCATATTGCACTTATGCATATAAAATTACCGTCTTCTCAATACTGGAATAAATTAATAAACATATTTAACTAAACCTTTAATTTCCAGTAACAATTTTTAACGTAAAAAAATTTCTGTAAACGTTTTTGACCTTGATCAAGGTCTGCCTCAGGTCACTAATGATATTCCTAAATTGGAATGCACAGAGCAAAAATTTGTTGAAAAAACTTATAGATATTATTCCAAAATTCTTGATACTGAAATTCCATTACAACATTTTGAAACAAGCAAATATAGTATGCTCTTTTTGATCTGTTTAATTAAATGTAAAATATTAATTCAAAGAAGAAAAATAGGATCAAGATTTCATCATGTTCTTTTTATAGTGTCACTGTTTTGAGATATATTATTTTTAAGTATATTAAATATAATAATAAAAATATATTTAAATATTTTGTGTTTTATAATTTTATCTTTTATAAATTTACAGTCAGTAATGGGAAAATGCTTTGATCACTACAGTGCTATCTACCATTTGTTGTTAGATAAACTCAATAGTCAACAGAAAACGCCACTTATACCACAAAATCTTCCAGTCACTTCACAAACTCAGAGAAAATCGAGTATTACTACAGGAATAGGTAATTATTATTATAAAATTAGTTTATATGTAACAAAAAATATAATTAATCAAGTGTTACTTTATTCATCTTCCGGCATTACTAAATTTGTTGGTATTTGTTAATTCTCTGATATTATGGACTGTAGGGAATCTTGGATGTCTTGGCAACTGATATCCATTTACTATATTCTAAGACAGCTTGACTTGGAATACACTAAATGGATATCAGTTATGAAGATTGGATGATTCGTAATTGGAGGAAGGTCTCCAATTATGTTTTAATTTTACATATTAATTAAAAAAATTAATCTTATAATTAAATATTTCATAAATCTATATTTTTCTCTTTAATTTTAGTAGAGAAAACTGTTCCATTTGAAGCAGCTGAAGCAGAATCCAATATTGGTCCCGTTCTTACAGTTAGTCCTATACATATGTTACAATATGTTTCTGAAAATCAAGCATTAGAAAAGGTATTTTTCTTTTTTAAATAAACACTACTTTTTTTATTGAGTGAATTAAGTATATATCTGAAAAAATATATTTACATATCAATGATCAAACTAATGAATAAGCAAGTCATATTCCAAATTTGGAAGGGGAAAATATATTGTATTTGACAAATTTTTTTCAATAAAACCAGTTTACAACTCTTCTAACTTACTTTGTATGCAACATTGGAATGATGCAATTGAAAATATTATTTCTAAAATTTATCTAATTAAATTATACGTTTTAAGACGTATCTACCTATAGAAACAATGAATGTGTTTGGTATATGATCTTATACACTGATTTTCTGGAACTGCTTCATTAAATAATATGAAGTGCTGAATGACAGACTAGTTTTAGTTTTGATGCAGTAATAAAATATAATTCATGAAGCAATGATTGGTTCATACTCAAAAAGTAGATCTGTTCTCATACTGAATATACCTAAAGTCATTACTAATGAATTTGAAAACCAAAAATTCAGTAATCTAAATTTTGTTTTGCTACTTTATTCATTTAAGAGTTGTTATTTGTATTTAGTAAATTGAGAAGATTAAGTGTCATTTATTTCAATGGATTTGATGTAATTAATCAAGATGAGCTGCAAGTTTTTTCTTTTTCCCAAACACTTTGATTAAAATATGATTATTTTTTAACACAGTTATAACAACTTAGTTTGTATTTTAGTACATAATATATCAGTATAAAGTACATTTAGTCTATAAATTTATCTCTGTACTAAAATGTAGTAAAAGAACATATTATTCTTTATAGTTTGGTGATATTGAATTGGAATCAGATGAAGAACCAACACAAGAATCTGTATCTCGATACCAAGTGATACGTCGTCATACTGTTGGACCCGGAGATGTTCAGCATGAACAAGTTTCTCCGACTGCAGCTGGTGAATTATGTGCCAGTAAATTAAGTCGTCCATTTCAGCCAATATCATCTTTTTATCCAGCACCTGTTTTTCCACTTAGTGCTTTGCCAAATACAAATCTACCTCAAAATTTACCACTTGTTCAAAATCAACCACCACAAAATTTTACAGTGAAAGATCAACATTTGTTAAAGCCGCCACCTGTTATGGGAGCTAGTAAGTAATTATTTATTTTTTGTACGATGTTATATTGTAGATAATAATTGTTGTCGTAAGTCCTGTTCAGATGTTTTGTTGGCATTTATCTATAAAATAAATGATTTAACTTACTTATTAACTACAATAGAATTTCATTAATCTGAAAATTATGGGAGCTGGTTCATTAAAAGTGTTGAATTACAGAACATTTTTACTTTTTTGAAAAAAATAAATTATTTGCAATCTAACATTACAGACATTGTTGTACATTTTGTACCAGTGCAAGCTGCTGTATGTGTCTGATTTGTTTTTGTATCCTTTTTAATTAGTTGGAAGATGATACAATGAATGTATTGTGTTAAGCTCCATTGCTCTCCATTATGCAGATAACTTTCCAACATGTATCAATGTGCACAGCCACACCCCCACATTCACCTGAATTTTTGCTCAGGATCTTTAGCACACCACATAGTTAAATAACCAGTAGTTTGTTTTTGATTTATTTTTTATGTCTTATTATTATTTAAATAATAACTTTACAACTAATTTCCATTTAAATTAATAAAAATGTTTTAGTAAATCAAAATTTTATTTGATGATAGCTTTGATAAAATAATTTTTTTACATATTTAATAATTATAGTGTTAAAACCATAATCAGTAAACTACAAATACCACTTAAATCTTAAAGAGTATTTTAAATTTATCCTAAGGAATCAGAAAGATGGTGTCTTAATTATTAATTTGATAAAGAAAAAAAACTTGTTTAAAAATTTCTAAAATTTCTAGTTAAATTTCTAAATTGAAAAAAGAAGAATTAAAATAACCTTAATGAATTTTTAGTTGGTGGACTTGGTAGGCGTGCATCTGACGGTGGAGCAAATATTCAATTATTCTTTCAACATCAGTTAATTCAGGGTCAACTAAGTCAACCATCCAGTAATGAGAGAATATCACCAGCAATGCAACAGGTATGTGTATTTTATACTTACTTATATGTAAAATATTTAAATGTATATTTGTACTGTGGTAAAGTAAATATTCACTTTTACAAAAAAGGTTTTTTTTAGAACATTTAGAATAAACTGTGTATTTTAAATTCAAATATTATTTAATTAAAATAGTATATTTTAATGGAGAAAATTTAACAAAGAGTACAAAAAATTAGAAATCTTAAGCATTCTAATATTTCAAATTTCTACCATTTGTGAGACCTGAAAGGCCCCTGGGCTAAAATAGTGATTTTATTAATAATGTTAATATTTTGTTATAAAATATTCTTTCGGTTGGGTGAGAAAACTAACGTTTTAACGTGGGGAAAATAGATAACAGATGTTACTTCCTTTCACAGAAGTTAGTACATCCTCTGTTTTTCCCTTATCTGCGAAAACTCTCGCTTGATGGGAAATGTTTACCCCTCACATATCCCCCTTTCCATCCATTCTCACGGAGGAATCTTTGCATGATGATTGGTCGCCGATTGGGACATATAGAGGAAATTTGTCAGAATTCGGGGAGTTCATCGACAGAGCTGGAAGTGTCCAAACTCCCCACATTTTCCTCCTGATGACCAACGCCCTTAGACGAGTCACATAGAATAATTCCAGAGTTAGCACTTAGAAATTATACTTTGATTTTGTGCACATATCGATCTCCCATGATAAGAAGTAAATGAACTTTATCTCCAAAGTGTCCCTTGTCTACCAGAAGAAAACGAACGACAACTAGAACAGGTTGTATGTTTCTAACGATTTTGTGAGCTCTCTCTCTCGATCGCGCATCGGGTATAATATAAGTCCATATATCTCTCGATTTGTATCTTATTTGTAGTAGTTATATCTCTCGTTCATTGGTATTTTTGTATTAGTTTTTATTTTCTTTGGTTTTATTAAATTTATTGTTGTTTGTTTAGCGAACGAAATGGCTCTTAATTTGTGTCTGAATCAGATCTCATACGCGTGTTTGTCCGCGGATCGATAAATTGACAAACTGGTGTCAGACCTGACAAGCATCTGGACTTCACAGTTCAGATCTACTAGTGGTTATCGCTCTCCTATGAAACTTTTTGAGATCAGATCTAGTGATCTGGATCGTAGAGAACTAGTCCTACCGACTAGCTGATAAGTGATACAGGCGTAATAAACCTACCCTGTACCCCAGGCTGGATCTCACACATTTGTCTTCAACAATGTGAAATAGAGTACATTGCTATTGAAAATAGCATGCAGAAATGTTCTATTTGGTGATTTTGAAGAACAGTCATTGCAGTTTGAAAGTGCTAGAATGGGTAAATTTCAGTTTGCATCAAACAGTGCATTAGTGAATGATGATGTACGAAAATGTGTTCTGATATTCACTGATAAGTTCATTGGTACAGCAACTGATGCACATCACACTCGTTGGACTGTGGATATGATGAGCTCTGATAAAGCATGAAGCAATATGGTGCCATCAAAGTTATATTATTATTATTTTTACTACTCATCTGTAATAACTCAAAGTTATTTTGATAAAATACGTCTGCAAATGCCAATACAGCACTGTTTGCTTTTGCCATCTTGTTCAGTTGCCAGGCATCCCAAGTTAAAGCTTATTAAATTGTTCACCAGTAATGCACTGGTTAAATTATTCATAGTAAAGCACCAGTAATACACTGGTTAAATTGTTCATAGTAATGCACCAGTAATGCACTGGTTAAATTGTTCATAGTAATGCACCAGTAATGCATTGGTTGTTATTGGTTGTGGATGAGACTGATGCATACTGAAATACATTTTTTTACAGATTATTTTTAGATATACATAAATAAAAATGGATGAGAAAGCTAACTAAATGTTGGAAAATACATTTGATAAACATAGTTTTAGTCAAATGTGTGTATATTATTTTCTTAATATATAATTTATTAAGACATATGTAAAAAGATTTAAATATGTACTTTTAGAAAAATGAAAAATTGCTGTTGTTTCATTGTATACTTTAATATTTTAGAAAGTTTTAAAAAAAATACATGAAATTTAAATAATTACATTTATTGTTCTTTTCATTTCACACTTTTTAAAATTAAAATAAATTTTTAATTGAAAAAAAAAATGTAAATTTTACATATTGGTTTACTTGTAGAATGTCATGCTTAATGTTTTCTACATTGAATTTGATGACACTAAATTATTTAGAAAATAAGCTCGTAAATGGTTTTAAATGATACTATTTTAGTATTAAAAATAATAAAAATCACAAGAAAGAACTAAGAACTTGTATGCAGAAAGAATTTATTCTCATGTTATTTTTGTCCACTAACAAGAAAAAAAATCAAAGTAAATTTTTATGCATCAAATCATTATTCTGTTTAAAATAGAATAAAATTAAAGTTCTTATGTTGTTCTTGTGATTTTTGATAAATAGATATTATTTGCAAGTTGTGTCATTTTGTTTAGTTATAAATTATTTCTGATATTTACCATATAGCTAAATTCAAATCAATTGCCAAACATAAAACCAAATCACACAATTATATAAGTCTTAAGTTAAATTAATTAAATTAGCCTTAATATAATCCAATAAGTTTCCTGAACTAAGCTGTAAAATTATCATTACTAATATGATGTCAAATTTGTTTAATATGTATGTGGATTAATTAAAGGTATTGATGATCTGTAGCTTTTCTTGCTGTACAAGTTTTTGTGGCTTTTTTAAAAGTTATGATAGTATTGCTTTTCTCAAACTCGTTTTTGTAACTGAGGTTCTATGACAAAATCCAATGGCTAAACAGAAAGCTTTCTCATAGCAGTATTCACTGATTGTTGAAACCTGCTTTATCAGCAGGTTTCAACAATCGGTGAATGCTGCTTTATCCTGCAGAGTTATTTTATAATTTAAAATGTGGCAGAAAAGTGGCAGTTTTGATTCCTCAAAACAGATTATGGCAGCCAATAAGGTCATTCAACAAAGATGAAACTGCAGAATTCATCTGCTATAAGTAATAGATATGTATATATATAAAAGCAGGAATATATTATATATTAATATATTTAATATTAAAAAGGAATATGTAGAATTCATGTTTACAGTTCATAGTTTTCATAGAACACTGCTTTTCTGAAAGTGAAGAAAGTTTCCTATTTTGAATATCTTTATTAATTCTTATTGAAATTTTGGCTTAAAGTTATATGGTCATATCACAAACATGTACCTTTAAGCTAACCTTTTAATTATAATTAATAAATTAACTTTAATTAGGCCAAAAGTAATCTGAAGGTTTATTCTTGTGTTTTGTAATAATTTTACAATATGATTTGATTCTTTCAATAATGTTTTTCGACTTATTTAAGTTATTCCATTTAAAAAAACTATAACAGATCAGTAAATAAACAAAAGTGTACCTGGGCATTCAAAAAGTTCTGAGATTTATTATTAATAAACAGAATGCTATAGGAAAGGATTAGAAGGCTCTGGTTATGTTGGACCCTGCCTTTCACTGTCCGGTTACTCAATTCTGGACGTGACCAAACCTGTGACAAAAATTATTGTAAATTAAGAACAATATTACTTGAAAAATTGGATGAATACAGTTTAATTTTTAATTAAAAAAGTATTATTTATAGATATCTCCAGTAAGTGCTACTCTACCTCAAGTTCTTCAGGTGTTAGCAGTTCATGAAGATGATGGGGATAGGGAAGATTCTTCTGACAGTGGTGCAATATCAAGGTACTATGATTATTCTTAATTTCATATAATTACTTTTATTTTGTATACTCTTTCTGGTATTTATTAGTTATTAGAACTTTAAAACCTACAAAATAGCACAGTAAATTTTGTCTTTATTAAAAAATGTCCTAAAATTAATGCAGGATTTAAATTTCATGCCAATTTTCTTCTGTTGGGTTGGCATTGTTATCTGAAGGGATATCTTGTAGTAAACACATTGTAGTTAGTTAATATGGAGCAATACACGATGAAGGAGCATATAATGATGATCAAAACTTATTACAAGTATGGGGATAGTTTTGCTGTAACTGTGCAAATTATGTGGCACTTTTGGTTGGAGAAACATGCCAAATAAAATGCAAAGATTGTGCAAATAATGACTGGTGCATGCCCAACGAGTGACAGTTTGGTGTGGATTTTGGACCATTGGAGTGACTGGACCATATTTCTTCAAAAATGAGGCTGAAAATGCACTTACTGTTAATGGTGTGCATTATCGTGGGATGATATCAGAGTTTTTGTGCCTAATTTGGGCAGCATGGATTTGAGTGACATGTGGTTCCAGCAGGATTGTGCCAGTTGTCATATGGCATACAAAACAATTGAGTTGTTTTGGCAGAAGTTTCATGGATGACTCATATCACACAACAGCGATCAGAATTAGCCACCAGTCATCATGCAATCTGATACCATGCAACTTTTTTCTGTGGGATTTATAAAGTCCAAAGTTTATGCCACTAAAATAAGAACAATTCCTGAATTGAAATCAGAAATTTGAAAAGTTGTTGACAAAATTGAGCTGCAACTGTGTGAAAAATGTAATTGAAAATTTTTGTCAAAAGAATATGAGTGTGTCAGAAGTCATGGGGACATTGTCAGATATTCTATTTCATATTTAATTACAATGTTTACCCTTTAAAATGTTATAATAACTTTGCCAATTACAGAATAAATAATATGTTATTTTTAAAATTTAAATCTTGCATTACTTTTGGGACCCTCTTGGGACTTTTAATTTTATTAGAGAAATTTGCTTTGTTCTATTATAATCATAAGTTATCCAAAATTTTTTCAAAAAATGAACATTTTAAGAGAGATATAGACAACTTTGTTAAATCTCTTGTTGTACCATACATATGTATATAATAAAATAGTGTGTGTGTGTGTGTGTACACACATACTATATGTACTATACTGTATGCCCATGGTAATTGAATTATGGCTTGTGAGCCACTTGTGGCTCTTCTAGACCCTTATTGCAGCTCCTGTATATCAGACCCCTACCCCTTATTACTTAGAGATAAAGGTCTGACTTTGGTGCTATTCCTCTATATATACATACACACAGCATATAGATTATATATGAAATATCATTTCAAAATAAGATGCAGCACTCATGTATTTCTGACATGCAGTATATTGGTGTGTGGCTTCTATCATAACAAGGTTTGGCCACTTCTGCTATATAAATATCAGTACATTAAATTAAAATTGATTAAATAATTTAGAAAATTATGAAAGAAAAGATTGACCTAGAGCAGAAATTGAACCTTCAACTCCCACTTACTGTGTACATTCACTGCCAACTACACTATTCAGATCTCGGTTTAAGTCGAAAAACCTAGACGTTTCTGATAGTGTAAAGCAGGGATGAGCAACCTTTCTCTATGTAAGAGCCGCATTTCAAAACTTTTGAACTGATGCGGGCCACATACAAGAGAAAAGAGGAGGGAAATGTCATTAAATCACAATTATTTATTCATATTTAATTATAAATTAGCATAGGTATACTCAATTTAGCTTCTGGAATTGATGTAAATGTAATATATTGGAAATATTTGGTTAAATATTTTATTTATTTTAATTTAAGCATATTGGTACAGATCATGATGCTGGGAGAAAACAAAAACAAAACACAAATATACAAAATCATACAAAATTATACAGCATATCAAACAAATATATGCAACATTTAATTAAATAAAATCAAACAAAAAAAGTTAAATTCATTCTAAACTTAAATTTAAATGGGAGAACTATCCAAAAAAACAAATTTAAATTATTACCAACAGACTAGGCTAAAACCTTACCTAAAAAATTGAAAAATAAACAATTTAATCACTTGTTCACAAATCGGATAGTCTCTGAAATATCCAAAGCTAACTGCTGGTTAAATAACAAACAGACCATGCTCCCAGGGTGCAATTTACATTAAATTATTAACAGTTTTCACTATAAACCTAAAAACAAAGGAAAAGAAATCAGATTACCATAAAACTAACTTCATAAGATAAACAATTTAACCTTTTTAATAAAAATAAATACCTTGAAAAACGAATCAGCATTAGAAATTACTTTTGTAAAATTATCAAACAAAAAAAAGTAACACCAATGTAATTTTGACAAAAAAGTACAAACTCAATCATGTGATATGCATCCAATGGTGAATCAGCCGCACCACATATCCACATAGCCCTTCTGTAATTACATAAAAATCTCAATGAATTACACCTAACTTGCATTAATACGGCCATAACATTACAAGAAAGATTACTATTATAAATAGAATCATCAAAAAAAGATTTATTCAAATTTTTATACCACCCACAATAAGTACTTAATAATATACTATTATTCAGTTTTGAAATATAATTATCAAAGTTATTTAACTTTAGTAAATAAACTCCATTAACATTTTTGAACAGATTTTCGAGATCAATTCCATTCCTTGCACAATTTACAGACAAATACTTTGTCCATGGTAACTCTAGTTGTTTCAAAACTATATTTGGTTAAATATTGGTCATTGCTTGTTTTAAATTAGTTTTGATGTGTCTGTTAGCCAGTTTCTTGTTTTAATTTTTACTGAATTCATTGTGGAAAAACTGTTCATATACATAAGTTGTAGAAAATAATGTTTGAATTTTTGCTCCATACTTCCTTAAGTTGGGAAATTGATATATTTATTCATATTTTATGCAACATGGATTGCAAAAAGTATTACTGTGGACTTCATGCTGCCCAAAGGCTGTGGGTTGCTCATTTCTGGTGTAAAGGGATCCAGAGATCCTTGAGATGAGAGAAGATTTTTTCTTCTAGAATTTTCAGAATTATTTAACTGATTTTCTTAATTTTTGTTATTATTATAAGATGATGGCATAGCTTCCTATCTTGAGCCCAAATTTTTTTTTGTAATCATTATTCTTGTAGCCCAAAACTTGGCAGTGTTTGAGTTATATGTATATAAACTTAATTTTAGATATCTTCAAACAAGAGGACACAGTAAGCGTCACACACTCGCAATTCCAAGTGCAGAAGAAGTTCAAGAAATGCAGTGGAAAATGCAACAACCATTAAAACAAAGGAGAACAGGTCTTTTAACTGTGATGGAAAAGCAATCAGGTATTTTTTCCATGCTCCTATTACACTGCATAATTTCATTAATTGTTTATTTTAATGATTTTTACTGTTTTTTATTAATTTAATTGATATATTTTGAATTAAAACCTAAAACTTTCAATAATGGAAGTTTATCAGACTATAAAATCTTACATTCCAGTTGTCACATTTCAAATATTTTAAAATTATTTATTTCTACCCATATTTTTGATTGTTGCCAAATGAAAATCAAAATTAGGCCCAAGCCCTCAGCTCATCTTGTAAAATTTTAGAATGTTGACTCTGACTACTGCCTCTAAATAATAATTTAAAATGTACTTTAATTCTATTAACCTGGAATGGCATTATCAAGTGAATCATTCTTAAATCAATGCCAACATCTTAAATATCCAGCAAATAACACTCTAATGCTAACAATTTCAGCCAAATTCATTCACCACCATCAATGAATTTGACCAGAAACATTAGCATTAGAGTGTTAATTGCTAGATGTGTAAGATGTTGCTATTTTAAGCTCCTTAAATAGATTTGTATAGGGCAATTTTATTTCTTAAGTTTGGTTTTCATCTAATCAAATCCACACAAATTAGTAGTATAAACAGTTGTGTGTATAATATCAATTTACCATCAAAATACCTTTGAAAACCAGCAAATAATTTAATAATTGAATGCACAACTAATCAGATGCTTGCCTCATGAAGGTCTTTTGAGTAAGTTGAATACATTTGCTTATTCCCATCATTAGCTTATTGTATAATAATTAAAAAAAGGAATTATTTCAGAACCACATCAAACTTTCAGGACACTAAATTTTTTTTTAAATTGCTGACAATAGGAAGATAAAAAATGATATAATGTAGTAAATTTTATTTAGTTCCTAAAAATTTTTAGATATTTTCTAAATCTTATATACTATGTACTATTTAATTCTACTAATATTTATTTTATTACTTAAAAATATGACTAAGATTAAATAATTTTACTCAGTTACAATAGTTAAACTATATAATTTTAGTTAGTAAAATAGATAACTTAATGGTAAATTTTTATTTTTCATCAGCTAGAGAATGTTTTAAAGATTTTAGTAGTTTTCATTCATCGTCCGGGAGATTTTCACCCGTTAGAAGAGCCAGCGACGGTAGTCCCCAAATTACTCAATTTAGAGGACAGCTGGAGAGGATATATACACAAACTGTATCATCAGCTCATGAAGATGAAAGTACAAATTCAGTAAAAGCATTACAACAAGAATATCAACAACTTCAGGTTGGTAGGGATTTTTATGAAATTAGATCATTATAACATTGGATTTACTGTGTACCAATAATCTCATGATTCACCAGATATTTTAAAACTTGATTTAGGAAATTTCAAGAATATTTGCTTTGTAATAACTTTACTGTTTGATATTGATTCTCTCCATCTTAGATATGCCATTAGCTAGGAGAAGACTAGTTTCATTACAAACTCCATGGAAACAGCAAGTAAAAATATACAAATGCTAAATAGTTTAAGGCAGCGTTCCCCAACCTTTTTATCGGCGCTGACTGGTTAACGTTTGATAATTTTACTGCGGCCTGCTGAGGGGGACGTTGATTGTTTATATTTTAGATTGTTTTGATTTAATAATTTTAACTTAATTGTATTTAAACATGCCTTCAAAATAAAATACAGTTACACCAAAAAATGAATATAAAGTGATTTAACATTTTAACTCACTAGAACACTAAATCAATGAGAACCCTGAGCTTGTTTCTTTGGAACAAGACGGTTCCATCTGGGGGTAATAGGAGACAATGACACCCGAAGTGTGTTGCTTATGTCCAGTTTATTCCGTTGTTTTGTTTTGGTTGCTGTCACTGCAGAAAACCCTGCTTTACACAAATAGGATGTCAGAAATGGCAATAGGGATTTAAGTGCTGTGGTGGCAATCTCATGGTATTCCGCCATGACTTTAATCCAGAACACTGGCAGAGTTGTTGTCTTGAACGTAGTTTTAAGACCGCTGTCATTTGCAATCTCCAGCAGTTGATCTTCTTCTTGCAGAGACATGCTAGATTCACCTGGTTTGTTGACAAATGGGTCGTGGATCCATTCCTTACCAGTTCGTGGGTCTTTTGTGGTTGGGAAGTAGCACTCAAACTCTTTTAAAAGCAAAGACAAGTGATCGTGCACCAACTGGAAGAATGAATGCTCAGGCTCAGTCTTGCCTAAAATCCCCGCTAATGTCTGAAACATGTTCAAAATGCCTCTGTTCACGTGCTGTCTCCACAACTCCAGTTTGGCTTTAAATGCAACTACAGGTAACCCCCGTATAACACGGTAGTTACGTTCCAAAAAATTGCCGTGTTATGCGAATCCGTGTTATACGAAACAAAGAACTAATACGAAAAGGAGGGTTAGGTTCCAAAAATTAAAAAACATACTAGTATATTTTCATAATTAAGATAAATATCTTTATTAAAATTTTTTTAAGTGATACATATTAATATAAATTAAACAATGTTTTCTTCGTCATCACTAAAAACACTATTAATTAACCGAGAGCGTTTTCTTTTTGGCAAGTTATCCTTATCCTCTGAGCATTTTTCTGCATTATCTTCAGATCCATGCTTTACCTTTTGCAAAATGTATGTAATTTTAGATTGCTTGCTTCTAGTTAAAAGGTCTTTATAAATTTCCTTATATGGTGCTAAGCACTTATGAAGAATAAAGCAAGTATGGAATAAGGGAAAAACATTCGGCAACATCAGAAGCAGAAGCGTCGCGATCTGGCAACATGAAACAAGTTTCGAGAAGGATCACGTGTATCGAGAAGGCGAGAAGAGAAAATTTATATACAGTACTTAAGTACTAATAGTTCACGAAAATAATAATTTTTGTGAACTATTATTAGTTAAGTATGTAAAAATTTATTACATTTCCTGTTGTACGAGGGTTTTACCCAATTCTCGAACCGTGTCAGAGTGAATCCGTGCTATAAAAGGATAAAAGTACCGTGTTATACGGGGGATGGTACCAATTCTCAAACCGTGTTAGAGCGAATCCGTGCTATAGAAGTGCCGTGTTATACGGGGGTTACCTGTACTTTGTCTGCCAACTTGAAAACAGTTGTCATTTTCTCCTGAAGGGACAGATTGAGTTCATTGAGCAGGCTGAATATGTCACACAGGTAAGCCAGTTTTGCGACCCATACCTTGTCACTGAAATGTGCTGCCAGCGGTGACTTCTTTTCTGAGAGAAATCTTTGCAATGGCTCTCGTAAATCAAACACTCTGGTTAGCGATTTTCCTCTGGATAACCATCTTATTTCTGTGTATAAGAGAAGGCATCTGTGCTCTGCGTCCATCTCCTCACAAAGCTGCTCAAACAGGCGTGAGTTAAGGGCGTGTGCTTTGATGTGGTTAATAACTTTAACAACATCAATCAGCACGCTGTTAAATTCTGGTGACATTTTTCGGCTTGCCAGCATTTCCCTGTGAATGATACAATGCGTAGATTCACTTTCAGTTGCAACCTCCTTAATCCGAGCAGTTAAGCCAGACAGTCGTTCGGTCATGGTAGCAGCTCCGTCTGTGCATATGCCGACACAAAAGGACTGTTTTAGTTGTCCTGATATATAACCATCCAGCGACTTGAACAGTTCTGCTCCTGTGGTGTTGGTTGGCAAAGATAGTGCACATAACAAATCCTCATGCACATCCTCCTGATATAGATATCGCACATAAACAAGTAGTATTGCCTTGTTGTTGATATCTATAGATTCGTCAACCTGGAGTGTGTACCACAGTGATGTATTAATCCTCTCCAACAATTGTGTCTCAATGTCTTCATATATTTCCTCAATGCGCTTAGTCACAGTGCTAGCCGACAAAGGCACATATGCTATCTTTTCCACAGCAGCCTCTCCTAGAAGTTCACAGCTTTAATGGAGGGCAATATCAATTCTTCACCGATAGTGAATGGCTTTTTAGCCTTAGCAATACGGTTAGCCACCAAATATGATGCTCTCAGTGCATTCTCCTTTATTGATGTGGTGGCCCTCAGAAATTTCTTCTGTCCTTCGTGTTCCCATTTTTTTATTCAAAATACTCCAAGGGCTTGTCTTTTAATCCAGGGTGCATGGCATTCAAGTGGCAAAGCAGTTTTGAAAGTTTCATTGCCTCATTAGAGAGCTGGTCACTGCAAACTATGCAGAGCAGGATTGGTTTGTGGGAACCACCTGTCCTGATAAATCCATATTTCAAATAGGACTCATGGTATTGTCTGTTAAAAGTTTTATGTTTCTTTGATGTTGAAGGTCTTCTTCTGTCTCTTCACTGAGCCATTTCTTTTTCCCAAGGAAACTTTTTAACGATGTCTGTTTCGTACTCATTTTTGCTAATTTGTGAGTTAAATTTGAGCAAACACAATATACACATACATCAGTGAAGTCAGATGTGGTGATTTCTTGTAACCGTGAATGAATCAAAAGGCAAGATTAATTAACAAGAACATTTATTGACTTGCACACGTCGGACTTGAATCTTACACAAAAGACATCTGCTATCATGAAAATTAACAAAAAAAATATACATTTATCAGACAATAGACAAAGACTCAGTTTGTAAACAATTTACCTTTTGTATATACAACTGACACTTGATCCAGAGCTATCTTTCAATGATCGGACATAAGTTAAGCGTCATATGCTCATTTTTTAAGCGCAGTTTACAATAATGAATATGATTAATCTTAACATCAGATCAACTTAGACCAACCTAACAGATCTTAGGTGAACTCAACTTTCCCACCTAAACCCAATCTTTTTATACAGATTGAAGAAAATGCTAATCGACCAATCAGTGTTTCATAGCACTATCAGACGTCTGCCGATTGTACAATGTTTGCTGGCCAATCAGTGCTCCTGTTTTCGAAACTAACCGTCGTTTCTTGATCCAAGCTTCTACGGCGTCAACTGTTGCTTGTTTGAAAAGAAAAAGGGCGGAAATGTACATCCAGGCGATTCCATCGCGACACTCTCCACCAAAGCTACAATGCCACTGCCGCTTGCAGCCACTCAGCTCCAGACATCACCTAAAACCACCTCAATATCACAATATTTTGTGCATACACGGTATTGGTGTGGTTTTAGGTGACAACTCTCAGCTCCCGGTTAACCACACGTCCATTAAAAGTCGCGCAAACCCGAGAGAAATACACCACAGTAAATAAAATGGAAATAATTTAATGTTCCTTGGGCGGCCCGGTACTATTTGATCCACGGACTGGTACCGGTCCGTGGCTCGGGTTGGGGACCACTGGTTTAAGGAACCTAAATTTTATTGGATGAAATGTTTTTTGGAACTCTCTTGTCCTTTCATCAACAGAACATTGTAACATTCCACTGATGATGGGATGTTTGACAGAACTTATCGATGTTTTTGTTCAAATTTTCTGATTTGAATGTTCTGCAGATTTGATTTGGGACAGAGGAGTCCTGAAAAAATTTTAATCCAATAAAATTTTGGCTTCCTTAATCAGTTTAGCATTTGTACATTTTTACTTGAATGTAATTAAAATATTTCAAAAAGTCTTTACATTTGACGAAATAATTCTGTAACAATGACAATTATATTGCTAAAATTTTATACATTAAGTTTTAAATTTGTTCTTAAAAAAGTTTTTTCTGGAGTTCTTGTTATATCAGAAGTGTTTTAAATACAATGTTTGTATTTACAACACTCCTTTGTAGTCAATGTTAATATCTGAGGATGAGAAACTCTTCAAAAACATTTAGTGTGACCTTATACTTCACTTCAATAAATATTTTTGTAATGAGTTTGTAACAAAGAATTGGATTAAGCTTAGAACTGTCTTCAAATGAACTAACATATTTAATATTAACAATCTGATAAATTCTTCAGATTAAATTTGATAATATACAGTCATATATATTTGTTGTATGGGGTCTTCCAAAATGAATGCTACCATTTTAAATTACTGTAATTATGTTAATTATTATCTGGGAAGTAAATAATTTATACCAATCACTAGAGTAATCATCTGAGTTTCATCTCCCATCTGCATTCAAGTGTCTTGTTGTCTAGTACCTCTAAAAAGTGTCATAAACAAAAACAGTAACTCTGAACAGAGAAAGCATTTTGTGTTCTGCAGTTTACAAAATCAGAATCACTCATTGCTGTTCAACATGAATTATCTGCAGTGGCTACAGTGAATACAATTGTGGAGCTGCAGGAGCTGTAGCATTGTGGCTGTTGTAAGAGTAATAACAGATATGTTGTGTAAGAGTATGAAGACTGAGTATTGGTTGGAGGTATGTTGTGTGACATGAGTGCACACATTGAAAAATTGTAATGGACAAATGTGAAACTTGGACAGTTTTCAAAGTTTTGTATTTAACGTACAGTACAACATTCTCAATAATAATTAAACATAATTTCAGTAATTGAAGATGCTAGAATTGTTTTTTGGAAAATCCTGTATTTTTGCTTCTTGAACTTAAGAAGCAAGCAGCTGACAGTCCCACTTGATACATGTTTTCATTTTATATTAGTAAAGATAACCATATTTAAATTTTCTTTTTATAAATTTTAAATATTATACAGTTATTGGTTTAATGTCATAATCAAATAAAATATTTTGAATTTTCTATAATTATAATTTACAGCATTAATTGAAAATAAATTATTGTTTACAGCAAAAACACAGTGGAATTACTGATACTCAAATATGGGCTGAAATGCAAAGAAGACATTCTTTACATATTCAACAAATGGCACATCTTCAACCTGGTCTCATTACAACTTCAGCATCTTCACCACCTTCCATAGCTGGGTCACCAAGTCATCAGACTCCGCCTAATTCAGGTTCTCCAGCAGTTCTTACTCAACATTTACAGAAACTTCATTTACAAAGAAGAGGGAGTCCTGTGGGATTTGGTGGACACGATTCTCCTCTCCAAACATTTCAACGTGTACAACAGTTATCAACACCGCATTGTAGTAGTCCGCCTCCCGTAATGCCAACTCCTTTTGTTTCGGACGTGTCTACGGGTGCTGTTTCTCCCCCTTATCCAAGAGGATCTGGAATTTCCTCTCCGCAAAACAGGACTTCACCTCCTCCTCATTATCCTGATTCTCCAACTCATGTTCCAACTGTTTATCCACGAATACAGTCAATTGTCAGTCAGCATCATCGGAATAGTCCTCCACCACCTTTTCAAAATTTAGGAATGATTCAAGAAGATGCAACTGAACACATCTCATTATCTACTAGTTCTCTAACAACACCTATGTTAGTAACACAGACTGATTCCATAAAGACTAGCGGTTTAGAACAGAAAAATTTTCCACAAATTAGTATTACTGATGAGACTGGAGAGGTAAGGATGAGTTCAACACTTCTTTATCCAGATACTTTTATACACGACTCTTATAATTCTCCTATGATGGGTTTCTCACAACAGTTTGGTAATGTAGGACAATTACAATATCCTCAAATTTTAACTTCTCCACAACCATCGGAACTGATGGACACTAGCAGTTTAATGAGCCAAGACGTTGAAATGTCAAGAATTGGCCAGTTTCTTCCATTGTGTGAAGTTACAAGTGAGGATACTATTTCTGATAAAACTCCCTGTAGCCCTAAACATGCTCAAAGATGGGTATCTACCCAAACCACTCGTGAATCCTATATTCAGGCAGAACACTTAAGAAGAACATTCCCTCCTACTAGTCATGGAACTTCGGAAATAAGACCACAAGGAGGTGAAATAAACTTGGTATCGAGTCAGCATGGACTAGGAAGTGATCCAAGTAGTCTTTCATGGCAGCAGGGACTTAAAAGTGAAACTGCAACTTTTTCTGAATTACGAAAAACACCTAGTGGTAGTGTTAGAGTTTCTTTATCTAGTAATATAGAAGGATCAATGTGTGTAGAAGATATACTTCAAGAAATTCAGCAGAGGTTAGATCCTAAGGTTCGTGGTATGTCACTTTTGTTACAACCATCTGAGAGAGGTTTGGCCGTTGAACATCCGGCGGGCGTTCAGATCGAACTGGAAGTTTGCGAGGGACCAAGACCAGAAGACAGAGGATTAAAAATGAGAAGGATATCTGGTGATAGTCTTCAGTATGACCAACTTTGTCATGAACTTATAGCTTGCATGAATATTTGAGAAGAATTTTTGGCAGTAATTTGAGTTAGCTTATTTTTCTCTTTAAGAAGAAGTTGCTTTTGTGACAAAAAGCAATTTACTGTTTGTGCCATATGATGCACACACACTGATCTGTTAATTGTCTCCTACGTTTTGGAGACAAATGGCTTAAGGTGACTAGTCGAAGATCCATCCCAATACAACCTTTGGCCACCTATGTGTCATTTTATTATGTGACACAAATGCAGAAGGGCCATAAATGCCTGCACATTGCTCATTATATACATGAGAAAGTGTATTAAGCACTGAGTGTATAATATGTTTTATAGAAACTTTAATTTACAAATAATTATAATTGAATGATGTTTAGAAAGGTGAGATGAAGTTATTTATTGCTTATCAGTTCAAACATCAATGTAGATGCAACCAATAATTCACGATACTCTAAAATTATTAAAGAAGAAAGTTGCTGCAAAAAGAAAAAAATGTGAATATTTTAAACAGATAAAAAATTATTCCCAAAGTTATTTATATTTAGTCAAGTTAAAAGGGGGAACCATATCACAATTTTAGGACAAAGCAGCAGCATTTTATGTACAATCTCATCTTCAGAGTGCAGCTTTCATTCTACAGAAATGCACAGGTGCCTTTTTCTCAATCTTTAACTCCTGTAAGGCTTTGTAGTAGTAAACTGATTAACTTAATTACACTAATTAAAACAATATACGAGAACATTTATTTACATAAAAAGAATTTAATCTTTGGCTAATTAACATATAGAGAGGGATAAAAAAGCAATTAAATGCAGCCTTGTGTAAAAAAATTCATTAGTAAAATGCAATGATCTCATTTTGATTTTATTGACGAATGTGTAAATCCCAGGTGGCAGACTATGCTCAATTATTAGGTGTCGAGGTCAGGTGTAAAAATTAAGTTAAAAATATCTGTTGGGATTTATTTCAGTTGAAGTAAGAACATATGAGTTTCAATGCAAATTTAGAGCAATTATGTAAGTAATATGGCATGAGTTTCATGCCCTTTGTATATCTTATGTATATATATGTTAAACACGGAGTTAAATCTCGTATATTACATTTATAGTTATTTAAGTAGAATCGGATGCGTCGGATTGGATGAAACTACAAAGCCTCATAGGATCTCTAATTAAAATGGTATAAATTAAAGACAATTTCTGAAAAAAACAAAATTATTTTAATTAGTTTTTAGCAGAAATTCATAATTTAAAGCATATCAGACAGCATCTTAAGCAATGGTTGATTGCAATATTCAAATTTAAGTTTATGTAAATATATAGCAAGAAAAGAATTTAAATGTATGGTTAGTGATTAATAAATAGGCATGAATGTCTCTCCGAGATTTTGTCATGCAGAAACTTGCATCATGTGATAGATTTGACGCAAGTATTAGCAGCGATTAGAAATAAACTAGACAGTAGTTAGTCCTTCAGTAGACACGAAAGTAATTAATGATTAATAATAATAAATAATATTGATAATAATAATAATAATAATACCCTATCTTAATTGGATGAAATATAGGGGTGAAAATTTGTAAAAAATAATAAAATAAAATAATAAAAATAAACAAAATGGACTGATTGGAAATTAATATTTTATATAAGTTCCTGCAGATATTTTTTGATTTTTTAGAATTTTATTGTGATGCAAGGGATATATAAAAAAGATTTTGTGATTATAATCTACAATCCAAAGTTTTTCTTTATCTTCATAATGTTTTTATCAAACGTACTTAAACTGGATGTTAAAAGAACCAAATGATGCTGTATGGAAGCGAGTTCAAACATTCACCAACTAAAAAAAGAATCATCTCCAGTGTTTAATTTGATCAGAATTTTAATTTTAAGAATGTCTCATACCATGTTTGACTCAGACAATCTTATATACTGTATGTTTCAAGATGTTTAATACATGTATACATGTATAAATATAAAGAAAGGAGGAAAAAAAAAAAAATATATATATATATGCTAACATGACCGTTACATACAGTACATAATATAATAACCTAAGTGTTAACGTTCTTCTGAATCTGTGATATTCTTTGTGCAGTACAAATTACTTTTCTTAGTGATCTTCATTCTGTTGTTATTTGTATATATATTATCAATAAGAGTTTTGTGATTATCAGCTATTGTTTATGTTTGGAGAATTTGCTCGAAATTTCAAAATCATTTCCTCTCTTATAGATAAAAATATCAGAATTACTTCCATAAGAAAGTGTATTTATTAATTTTTTGAAGTTTATTAATTTAATATATCTTATTAAGTTCGGAAAATGCATTTGGAAATTTCGAGCAAACGACAAATCTCTAATTATATATATTATATATTTTTTAGTTTCAGAAAGCTGGAATGTCGCGATTTGAAATCATGAACTGTAAACTGTGCCTTTCCTTCTTATCACTTTGTAAACCTCAGCAAAAAAATAGATATTCTGTATATGTTTGTGGAGTGGATAGAAACAAACATTCCAAAAAAAAAAAAAGAAAAAAAATCTTAACTCTCCAGTACTTTCTGTCATTTTTCTTGACAATTATGTGATGGTATTGATTCTTTTTTCCAGGAAGACAATCCGACTGTGAAGAATTTAGCACAAAGAAAATGTTAAATAGTGGTGTATCTACCAAAGTATCTAAATAAAGATCAATCGGAATATTATCTGATAAGATTTTTTACTTCACTGATTTTATTTTTAACACCTAACTTACAAATTTAACTTGAAAAACTGACATATTAAAACCAATATTTAGTCGTATTTTTTTGAGAATATATTTAAAATCCATGTTCTCAATAAATATGACTAAACATTGATTACAATAGATATACAATGTGAAGTCAGTAATTATTAATAAATTGCAAACAGTTACCAGAAGTTAAAGAGAATATTAATGTTCTGTAAACATTAAGGTACATGTTCCAATGTGTAAAACTCTACTGATTGTTGCCAAGTCACTGCATTGTTTCCAAATCCCTTTGGCATTTAAAAATGTTCACCAATCAAGTGTTCTTTTAAAGCTCTGAAATGGGTCTGGCACCGAGTGGTTACCACATTTTTGGATTTTTAAAAGTAATATGTGTGGTGGCCAATAAGTGATGAAAATATTCAGGAATGTGCTTCAGTGATTTCAACAACAATCAACAGACTTTGGTGCAGTGTGTTTTCAGAAGTTGGAATAAATGCTTGAATGTTTTTAGGGATTTTGTTGAAAAATTAATACTAGGTTAAAAATTTTCTTATCTTTTTGGTGTTTGTCTGTAAACCTGATTAAATGTCTTCTCTTATATAGGCCTGTTGTATGATTGTAATTAAAGTACTCTTACCCAATGGTCTAGAGAGATACTTAGCAGTCCAAATGCAACCAAATTTGATAAGATGAAATTTTAGCATATGCGAAGCCATTTCTGTAAAAAGAAAATTGGTATGAAAACTTACCACTGTGGCACTTTCTGGTATTGTATTGTGCTTGCAGTGCCAAAAACTGCCATAGTGGTAAGTTTTGTACTACTGTAATTTGTACAAGAGACTTGTTATACAGAGGAAATACTTAGTGCCTGGTCATGCTTAGTGATGCAGGAAATACTAAATATGGCTTCCATTCTGAAGGAGATAAACATGATTAATTCATCTTACATGCAGTGTGATACTGTTTTTCAAGGCTGCCAAATTTGCAACATGTCCTTCATAAACTACACTTAAAAAGTATAGTTTATAAAGGAATTACCAAAAATGACAGGAATTAATTAAGAGCCAAAGTGAGTGAGTTTGGGTACATATTTTTTTTTATATAGAAATGTCTTCTGCATGATGTAAAATGTTACCAACCAAATTTTATTGCACTTGGACTGTTAAATCTCTCTCTAGACAGCATTAATTAGAGATATTTTAATTACAATCATCCAATATATGAGATTATATAACAAATATTCAACATTAAATTATTTTAATATTACAGTTTGAATGTTGTTCATTTAACAAAATAGTATGGTTAAGATTCGTTGGATTTGGAGAATTGGAACTGAATTACTCTTATTGCTTGTTTATGCAATTTTTCAATAAGGCAACAATATGAGCACAACTAATGGTGACACCCTACTCTTACGTAAAATGGGCTATTTGCATTTTTAGAGCAGCCAACGTTTTGGCTGCTCTAGAAATGGTGCATAACATTTCATCTTTGCCACTTCAGTGTGTTGTGAGCCAGCCAGTTTGCCAAGACAAAGCATCGGCCTACTTTTGGGAACCTGGGATTGAATCTGAGTAGAGAACCCAGGATTTTTTCATGGGAAGTCTGTCCCAATACGTTGGCCAAACCTGTGATGAACATGCAATGAAGATCCTCTTTGAGACCACAGAGCAGAAAGAGCCAAAAATGAAAACTTCCAGCAACGAGTTTGGTAACTTTTCTGGCAAAACATTTTAAAAATGTGTGTGTCATGTGTTACGATGTTTTATCGATAGCATCAATCTCATAATACACAAACCTCCCTGCAAAATTTCAGAATTTTTTGACAAAATGCACAGAAGTTATTAAGCTTCAGATGGGTGAACAAAATTTTGCCCCCACAAACAGAAACATACATACACTAACATGAAAAACCAAATTTTTGCATCTTAATGTCCCTAAGATCCAAACGTAAAATTATTGGAGATCTGTTTTCGACCGATTGCCATAATTTTCCTCTTGTATATAACAACCAGGAAAGTAAAAACGATCTTTTCCACGTTCTTGGCAAAGAGAGATGAACTGACAATACCAGTTAGATACCAACAGGTAAAATCGTTTCGGTCCACAAATTTCAAAATACTATGGTGCAGTGGCGGTGGATGTGCCGCTTCCCTTGTATTTTCTAAAAAATAAATACATATTAATTTTAATTATATGAAAATAATCGCACAATATTTTATTATAACTGCATTATGTATCTTATTACAAATTTCTACACTACACGTGAAAAAAAAAAAAAGATAAGATTGCTATTGTATATTCGAATATTAGTGGCGGAGTGGAAGTGCTGTATTGTCAGCATCCAAAAAGCCAGATCTCCGTAGCCGCTCATAGCGGTGACCAGATCCTAAACACTGGGAAGTTCGGTCGTGGGTTCGCGCCGCGATCGGACAGGCTGGCTGCAAGGAGTTTTCCGGGTTTTCTCCTTGCCAATAACGACTGAATAGGAGGCCAGTTCCCCTTAAAAGTCCTCCCGGAAGGCATTATTTCCCGCGCGTGCGTATAAGCCGTTAGATACGGCCGGCTCTTCGGTCGCATAGCGATCAATAACTCGTCTCTCGGAGAAAAAGCGTATCAGGCTATAGTCTCCATATGAACAAAGGGAGTAGAATCAGATAAGATAAGACAAAAAGCCAGATTCGCGCATACGCTTTACAAAGCACCAACCTCACCCGGTTTAGCAGGTGGAAGCCTAGGACTTCGGGTGGATGCTACACGTATACCGCATCCAATTCTATCCAGGACCGGTTCTGGGCTGTTAGTCGCCCTCGCCCGATTACGCGAATCGCGAGTAAATTTATAAGTTAACCCAACAGATAAGAATTTACTGGTACGTTTTTATGATAGTTCTGTATAGTTGACAGGAGTTTAAAAAATCCATTAAAATATTTGATATTTTTATTCCGCTCCGATTTTATATTACTCACAGATTTCAATGTTAAACCAGTGATATTACGATTTCGTATATCCCATCTTTAAGGGAATGTACAATTCTTGTGTAATGTTAAAAAATTAACCGTTACTTCGACAGCGTCATTTACAACTAAATTTAATGAATGAGAGAGATGAACGAGGTACAGAAAAAGCTCTAGAATTTATTTTCCTTAAATTTACGATTTATGTATCCGTTTGTCATAAAAATTTGTCTTTCCACTTTTTCCCGAGACTACAAATATTCGAGTACAAACTAACTGGTTTCGACTTACTTCTACTTAAGAAGTAGTTAAATAATTAAGCGATTAGGGAATTGGGGACATAAACAAAACCCTGATGAAAGAGCCGGAATATTACTTAAACAAAAGCTTAACCGAACCAATCTCTAGCCGAGTACAGTGGGGACTGATTTCTTCGTAATATTAGATGTAATAAAGACAGAAATTTTTCCAGTTCAACGAGAGTGACCGAAAAGTTGTAAATTTTGGAAATTTCCGTGGACAACACCTGGTCCTAAAACGAATTAGTTAGAAAACAAATGACGGACAATCTATTAAGTTTAACATATTTAGATTTTTACAGCTATGGTGAGAAACGTTTAAAATGTACAACAACCCTGTCGCGTCCTTTGAGGTATACTAGTGATGCGACAAAAGAGGCATTTGACATTGACCGGTATCGGGATTTGGCAGACCGCGTGCATGCACCTACCAGGACCGTCTCTGATTCCATCCATTAGTCACTCGTAGGGAGCTATTTGAATAAGTGGATTGTTTTAAGATTTAAAAAGTAAAGAAGATTTTATGTTATTTTTATGTACGTTTCTGTACAAAGCTATGTTTAATTATAATTTTCTTTAAAAGTATATTAATATAATGAAGAATATTTTGTACCAGGTATGTATTGTACAATACATCCACCACACATTTTATTTCACCAAGTAAGTTTTTATTATTTTATTTATAATTTTAGCCCTTAAATCGTGGCTAACGATTCGGAATGTAATTGCAATATTAAAAATACATTTAGAGAAGTCTACGATTTTTACTGGCTTATCGAATAAACGATACGAATGGACCTTGACCATCACTGACGCGCAATTAACTGATTGCCCCTGGAAGTCAGCTTCTTACAGAAACAGTTTCCCTACTATCAAATGTCACGGCATGCCACTGCTATGGTGTAACTTATCACACTACACCTTTTTTTTGCCGAGATAGTTTTATTGAAAAACTAACGTTTTCGGCCTACGCTATACACTATATCCCCAGGCTTAACGATAGAAAAAAACATTGGCGTTCTCTTAAATAGAATACGTAAATTTAAATACAAAAAATAATAACGGAAAAAACAAGAAAATAACTGAAAAAATAATACAAATACAATAAAAAACAAAGTCAGACCTAGTAATAGAAAATACTAAATAAAAATAAATGCACTAGTTAATACTTTAAATAAACATTGTAGTAAATTGTTAAGGAATTATTGATGAAAGAAGTAACTATAAACTAAGGCAAGACTACGAATTCGTGTTAAATTTTTTGACTATAAATTTCCACGCCGTTGGTAGGCTTTCTGGGTACCTTGCATTTATGCATGCCTCTTCCAGTTTGCTCTCGTAAGTTTCAATTTTTTTCAGCGGTATTTGCTAGCGTTGGGGAGTGCAAGGGTTTGACAATACCCGCTTCATCCCATTTTATTATCGAGCCTTGGGTCTACGCGAACTGGAAAAGTACCATTGTGTTGGAGCCTTTTCTGACATCATACTTGTGTTCTTTAAGTCTTATCTCCAAGTTTCTTGTGACTCCAATGTAGTCTTTTTTTTATTCCTAGTTGTGTGTTCTTGTAAGGAATTTTGTATACTCCTGCTTTTTCTTATTTTTTAATGTGATCTTTATCATTTCTTAAGATTGTATACAGGTTCGGAGCTCTTTTTAGGACCATTCTTGTCTCCTTGCGGTTCGCAATTTCTTTCATAATACCTTTCGTATTCTTGTTATGTGACTTTACTGGAATTATGTTTTGAACTTCTTTCTGTGCCCATCTCGTATTTTTAAACTATTC